GGGGAGGCCAAGAAGGCTGGACGCAGAAAAGTCACGCCCTCTGGGGGGCATGCCGTTGGGCCTTAACTGGCTAGTCCAGAGATTGTTTGAAGTCGATTCCCAGAACATCAGATACAGCCAAAGTCAAAGATGAGTATAAGAACACATTCCTTGGCCTAGGTTAAGTGTTTTCGTTTACCCACAGGTCAGGTCGGCTGGACTCCTTCTGCCACCTGGGACTGACACCAAGGGGCAGAGGCGCTGGGACTCCCATGGCAGTGGGGCACACGGGTCTGAGGGCCCCACTCCTGGATTGACTCTTAGCCCTACCTCCCCAGAGAATAATCCCAGCCTCCTTTCCTGAGGGATGCAATAGTGGGCTTGAAATTTCTCTGCCCACCACCCTCCCATCCCCCCCATACCTCTCCCAGACAGTGCTGCAAACCTACTTGTGGACCATTATCCATTCATTCCACCAGTATTTGCTGAGTACCTACTGTGTGACTGGCGCACTGCTGGGGCCATTTGGGAAACTTCTTGATAACCACCATTCTATTTTCAAAGAGCCTACCCTGGGCAAGACACCATGATTCTTTTTTTTTTTTTTTTTTTTTTTTTTTTTTTGAAATATTATACCCATACCATAAAACTCACCATTTTAAAGTGTACAATTGTGGTTTTAGTATATCTCACAAGGACCATACATGATTTTAAATTCTCAAAATAATTATAGGTGTTGTGGCATTGCTGTCCACATGTAATAAATAAAGAAGCTAGTGGCCAGAGAGGCTAAGTAACTTGCCCATGAACACCCAGGGGGGAACTGGCAGAGTGAAAATTTGAACTCCGATTGTTGGGACCAAAGTTTGACTGCCTCTTAGGGAGGCCAGATGTAGGGCCAGATGACGGTCTCAAAAACCATCTATGAAATTAGGCCCTGTTCGGGAGGGCAACAAAGGGAGCCACTGCAGGTTGTTCAGCAGGTTAAGTAGTAAGACTAAAGGTTCTACCATGTTACCTTGTAATGTGACAGCATCTGTGATAACAGTCCCAGGACCTCTTTCTAGAAACATTCTGGACCTGTCTGTTTCTTTCCATTCCCTCTTAGTCATTGCATTTCCACTGCTGGGTCTTTAGCAAAAAAGTTGTATTGGGTACCTGTTCTGTGCCAGGTGCTGTCCTAGGTTTACAAAATTCGCCCCCTGGGGCGCCTGCGTGGTTCAGTTTATTGAACATTCGACTCTCAGGTCTTGGCTCAGGTCATGATCTCACGGTTTGTGGGATCAAGCCCTGCATGGGGCTCTGTGCTGACAGCGCAGAGCTGGCTTGGGATTCTCTCTCTCTGCCCCTTCCTACACTCTCTCAAAAATAAATAAACTAAAAAAAAAGAAAGAAAAGAAAAGACTTTGTCCCCACAGAATCCTCAGGTTAATAGGGGCCCCAGGACATGCAGACAGATGGTACAGACAAACCACAGTGAGACTTGAGAAATGCTGCTGAGGTAGGTATAAAGGCCCTTGGAAGAGAAAAGAGTAGCCAGGAGTGCCTGGATGGCTCAAGCCCTTGAGTGGTTGAGCGTCTGACTTCGGCTCAGGTCATGATCTCACAGTTCC